AAATATTGATGCACCACCATACTTTCGTCGATACTGCCGCAACGTTCATTATTACAGAGGCTGCAGTGGGCGCGCCAGATTTCCTCCGCTATGAATTTATAACAAATCCTCCAAATACCTCGCGGAATTTGCAAAAGAAAATTTATATCGAGGGACTTACCGAACGGCAAGCACTTCGTCACGGCACAATATCACAAGCACTTCGCAATTTAAGCAAAATCTGAAAATACTTTTCGCATAACAGCTTTATAATTTTAATACGGTTTCTCTACGTGATTTATTAAGACTGCATTATCGCCCGTTATAAGTCGGAAAAATCGCTTTTATCGCGAAGCGATTGCATTTCGCGAAAGATTGAACGATTTGGTCGGATTAAACTGAGTTGGTGCGCAAAGTAGTGCACATCGTCGATCAAATTTTGACACTCCGCGATCCAGTGGGATAAGTAGATCTCGTCGAAGAGTAGCTTTTAATGCGACCTACGTACTACCCCCATGCGCGAGACTCCGCGCAGCGCGGCACCTGAAAGCTCAAACCCTTAAATCCAACGTTGCCAGTAGCAACGTTGCTTGGTCGATCGGTCAAAAGCCTTCTCTTGTCCATTATTTTTCGATTTTGTGTTCCCGGATTCAAAAGCCTTCGCGACGGATATGAATTCAAACTGGTGTGCGGCGGGCATTATGCGCCCCCGGGTAGAGAATTTTCAACGGCATTCATACATCTCCGCGCTTTCAGCGTTCTCTGCAAGATGCATATATAACGCATTCGAGCCAAACATGCGCCTTAAAACCTCAAGTGTATCAAATCGTTCTCGCGAGGTACGCGCGCGCGCGCATTTCTGGCGCTTTCTTAATACATTAATTGTAAGTTAAGTTAAACTAAACTCACTAGTAGAAGTGGTAGATCTGGATACGAAAGTTTATTTCGATAACTGTCGTTTTTCTTCCCTTCTTTTTTTAAATTTCCATTCTAACAAATTACATTGGACATAAATCGGTTCGAATTATTCGCCCACGGGACCAATTAAGGGTAGCGCAACCGATATTTGCAATACAAGTATAAGCCAGATTGTGTTACGGCGATAAAGTGATACGATAGCGAACGACGTGCCAGCTTTGGAACACCGAACAATTTATATCCTGTTACGCAATGGCTTTTATAGTGCAAAACCCGCCGCTATCGCTGCCGGTGTAGAAGTACGTTCCTTACGTAAAAGTTTTCACTATCGCCGGTTGCATCCGAGCAATATCGCCCGATTCTCGGAGCAACGTTGCATATGCGATAGCCGTAACACCTTTCCTGCTATTTCTCCGGGGACTTAAACAATATGTATCGGCAGTTCAGAAAAATTCATACACTTCTTAATAATAAACAAATATACAATAGACGGACATAAATATGTGTATGTGTATATATACATGTATATAAGTAAATGTATATACATATCATATTGACCATATTGAGGTCCATAGCTAACTTTTGGGGAGCATTATTACTAGTCGATTTTTTTTAATCGATTAGTAATACCCTCTAAAAGTTAGCTACAGACCTCAATATGGTCTGGATAAAATTTCATCGAAATCGATTAATACCATATCTCCAGATTGCCGCTCGACTTTGAAATTAGTAAGTTTATGCATTTCTTACAAATTACATTTTTTTTTAAAGCAACTGTGTATTTTCTTTACACCAATCGATTCATCTCATTATTCTGTGCCTAAAAAGATTTGTACTGTATAGATTGTCCGGCAATAGAGGAAAACGTTTTATCCGGAACCGAACAGTGAACCTATTAAAAAATTTTTTTGTGAAAATCAATGTACTGTATGCACAAAATACAAAGATAATTAAAAAAATACTAACTAAAAGATATAATAATGCAACTCACACGTCTTTCGACAAATTGGTAGATATAATAATTTATTATAATTTAAATATTATAATTTAAATCATAATAATTTATAATCTATACGATGCACCAGTTTCCCGTCATGTACAACATACATATATATGTATATACGAGGGCAAGTCAATAAGTTCTTAGAAAATCTGTCAGAGAGCACTCGCAGTGTCATGTCACATTACTTTTTGACAAGCATCTTTCAGCTGATTACTGTAAAATTTTAAGCGGAATTCATCGCGTGATTTCATTTCTGTAGACGATTAAAGCGAACAACTTTGTATTTTTTGCAAAAACGAGTTTCGTGTAGTGATCAAACATCTACATATGAAAGGTTTAACGCCGAAAGAAATCAAATCCGTTAGATAATGTTCATACTACATCTGTACCAACATTTGCGACTGTATACAATTTGGTGAATGAATTTAAACGTGGCCGTACATCCACATGAGATGCACCTCGTTCAGGATGTCCAATTGAGGCTGCTACGCCAGAAATCATCGATAAAATTCACGATATTGTTTTGACTGATCGACGAGTGAAAGTGCGCGAGCTTGTTGAGGCCACAGGCATATGTGATTCAATTTTACACGAACAATTGAGTATGAAAAAGTTATCGGCAAGATGGGTGCCGCGTTTGCTCACTGTGGACCATAAGCGCGATCCCGGCATCGCTGGCCAAATTTAACGAATTCCGCTATGAATTGCTTCCCTATCCAGCATATTCGCCAGATTTAGCTCCCTGCGACTATTTCCTGTTTCCAAACCTGAAGAAATGGTTCGGAGGGAAGAAATTCACTACCAGAGAGCAGCTCATCGCCGAAACAGAGCCTTATTTTGAAGGGTGGACAAATCATATTATTCGAACGGCTTGAAAAAGTTGGAGAATCGTTAGATCAAGTGTATCGAGCTGAAAGGATACTATGTTGAGAAATAAAAATGAATTGATCAAAAAAAATGTGTATTACTAAAATGTGTTTTTCTAAAAACTTATTGACTTGCCCTCGTATATACTGTGTCCGCCAAAAGGTTGGAACCGCCTAAATATTTTCCGTTCGAGATATTTGATTGAAATTTATAGGGTTACAATGGCAAAATGAAATCTATCAACCCACTTCAACCTTCCGAGAAGGGCGGGAGGCGAGAAGGGTTGAAAATCTTCAATGGCATGTGGAGTCGAGTGAGGGCTCATTTGAAAGGACTTTTCGAAACGAGAAGAACGCGAGGTCGAGAACGTTGAGATCTCGATTTTTTTTCGCAGAGTTATGCTCATTTGAACATTGGTGTTTTTTGGCACTAAGGAGGCCCATGGCGAGTACGAGAGGAACATTATATCTATCACTTAATCCGACATGCCATTTAAGATTTTCAACCCCCCTTCCTCCGCCACCTTCGGAAGCGGTTGAAGTGGATGTCTTCAAGGTTAAATGGTAGATTACATTTTGCCATTGTAGCCCTACAAATTTCAATCCAATATCTTGAACTGTTCAGAAATTATTTAGGTGACTCCAAACTTTTGGCGAACATTGTATATAATTATATTGTAACAGGTTTGTTTGCTCGTTTTATTGGTCTTTATTTCCTCAATTTTCTATTTTATTTTAACATAAACTAATATACAATTTTACTTTAATACACACACGTATATATACAGAGTGTCCAAAAAGTCCCACACCTGAATATTATGGAAAATATAAGTTTTACATAAGTGTTTCAGGCAAAAGTTGTATGATTTGATTCGATCTATTTATTGATTTTATTGGTTTGACCTTGGGTGGCGTCGCCAAAGACAGGGTAAGATCACTTTAAATTTTTTTAATGGAACCTCTCATTTTTCATTGCATATTCTTGTAGCTTATCTCGAGAACTTTCCAAAACACTATAATAAAATATTTTTCCATTAATCACTTCTCGAGTTATAATTAGGCTTGAAAGTTACAGTACTACCAGCATTAGCATTATCTAAGATGTCCGAACAATGGCTGAAACCTTTTGAATGTTGTTCAGGATCATGAGCTTGACAACATGTGTCAAGGCCATGATCATTGGAGATTATTTTTCTTATTTCCATTTTTTTTAATTATTTTTATTTTTTGAAAAAAAGAGAAATATCCTCCAATAATCATGACCTTGAAACATGTTGTCAAGCTTATAATTTTGAGCAACATTCAAAAGATTTCAGCCATTGTTCGGACACTTTGGATAATGCTAATGCCGGTGGTACTGTAACTTTTAAGCCTTATAACTCAAGAAGTGATTAATGGAAAAATATTTTATTATAGTGTTTTGGAAAGCTCTCGAGATAAGCTACAAGAACATGCAATGAAAAATAGGGAGGTTCCATTAAAAAAATTTAAAGTAATTTTACCCTGTCTTTGGCAACGCCACCCAAGGTCAAAACAATAAGATCAATAAATAGATCTTTTCAAACCCTACAACTTTTGTCTGAAACACTTTTATGTAAAACTTATATTTTCCATGATATTCAGGTGTTCCGGGACTTTTTGGAAACTCTGTATATATTTTATATATACATATATATATTTATATTTATATTTACAAGTATGTATAATATTTAAGTGTGAATAGCAACACTTATAAAACGCAACACAAATTAAAAGTAAATCTTGATCAAATAAATTACTTTTTTGATGCAAACAAATTTTTGTAAGGCTCAATATTATTTTTCTTTTATAATTTCGCACAAAATTATTCTACAATCTTGCATTTCTTGTTACTAATATATTTTTCTTGTTCCAATATATGTGATTAAAATCTCTATGATAAATTTGAAAACGTTTCTAACAATGCTTATTATTGAACATGAAATTAATAAACAAATTGACATCAAATTGGCATCAAAAGAGTTTTATTATTAAATGTTATTAAATGTTTTAAAGTATTGAATGACTCCAATCAATTTTCAAATTGACTGTAACATATCCTTTAAAAATATATCAAATTATTAATAACTTTTGCTTAATTTACTTTGCTTTATTTTGCTTTTTCTCGCGTTATGTATACGTATATAAATCACACATTTTATTTAGATAATATTTGGATGAACAAAATACTATGAAGACCGATGACGAAATAAAACTTCTGTATAATAAAAGTTTATTAAATCTCTGACCAATCGTTATATCAATATATAATTCGTAATAGCAATAATTCGCTACATTAAAATTGAATTGATTGATAAATGTGTTACGAAGAGATTTAATTGGAGTTTATTCATCAAATGTAGTATGATATAATTTCTTCTCATGGTTTATATTTTTTAGATGGATCGTAATTTTCTACGGTTACCGGTGGTTTGTACTTTATCCCATTTTCAATCTTTGAGAAACGACAAGATTCTCGGAAATCTTTTTCAAAAATAATCAGCTGTCTGAAAATATCCAAATATTCCGAAATTTTAATATGTTTTGATACAAATTTGATAGAAAGCGTGAAAATCGAGACGAATATGTTGTATACTTGAAATAATTCTTTGCAATCTGATGTCGCAAATTAATCTGGCTGATCAAATGCTTCGAATATATCGTATCAAGATCATCAATGTAATAATGTATGTCGGCTTCGTCCTTCGTAAGAAGAATGCAATTCCAAGGCGCCCATTCGACGTCTCTTTGATATCTGACCATTCTCAGATTAAAAAGATCTGTAGTCTTGCTGACTGCCGATTGTCCTTGCCAAATGTGATTAACTAAGTGATAAATATCTTGCTCTTGCATCATAAACGCCAAAGCGAAAGTGCTGCCTCGACGTTTCTCCTCAGCACGCACGGAATTCAATATATACATGTAAGGATCGTAATCCACATGGGCGATATTACGTCGACTTAGAGAACTGCAACCTTAAGAAAACGTTTAATTAATTAATTAAAAGTTTTACATTTATATGTAAAAAGAAATTAGAATTGAAAAGTAAAAATATTATCAGTAAAGAGTTTTATTTATGTATCTATTATAAATATTACGTTCACTCACTGCTGCAAATTGATAATTTCTTCATTCTAGTATGTGGTAAAAATCTACGGATGGGGAGAAGCTTTAAACAATTTTGACAAAGTTTCGTTTCTGTTTCTAAAGGTTCTCGCAATTCATTATCCTTAGACTCCGTAGTGACGCATTCACAACCGCAAATACCATCTATTCTTACAAAATTCAAGTAAGTATCTATGGAAGAATATATATATTTATAATATTATTACTAAAAAAAATGAGCTGTTAGTGCTACAAAATATTAAATATATACGTTGCAAGATAATGAAAATTTAAAAAATCCGAAGAATTCTAAATGACTTAAAGTTCTGTTTTTTTCTCTCTATAATTAAACTTTGTATCAAATAAAATTTTTAAAGATATTAGTACTATTCTTCTTATATCTTATTTTAAGTTATATATTTGTCATAGATAAAATTTAAAAATATATGACCATCAGCATTGGCATCACTTTGTAATAATAATAATAATAATAATAAAGTCCTTAAATATATAAATCGTTATAATTAATCATTATTATAAATCATTGGCATTAACATATTGGTAATAATTAATAAATGCTATCAATTGTTATTCAAAATAATTAATAGCATCAATTATCTTCTCAATTATCGCTGTTTCATTATTAGTTATTAATAATATTATCACATAATATGAATAATCTTACGCGTTATCCTTTCGTTTAAATAATCGAGCGATAAACCCTCAATCTTTCGATTTAACAACGCAACCTCTTGATCCAACAAAGACAACAAATCGAATGCCTCTACACAATTGTGCACTTCAACTGACTTTTTCAGTGTTGTCAATAATTTCATTCGTTTCTCTGAACTAACGTCACGATTGTTCAATGCGTCATAAATTTTTTTGAATTCCTGAGCCTTTTGATTTTTTATAGTGACCATCTCCACAAGTTTGCCCTTGTAACCGCTCCATCGTATAGGCTTGCAATTCACTGTTAAAAATCTGAGAACCTTTTGCTTTCGATACGATCTCTGGATCGCTTGCTTATGTATATCGATGTTATTGAACATTTTCACCGTCTTCTCTAAAATCCTGTAATTCTCAGCACGCTGACCTGCTTTGAACAGTCGCGACTTTATGTCCTTCAAACGATCGATTCTCCATCTTTCAATCAGACTGTAAAGCATGTCAAAGTCCGCTCTCGATCGCGGATATATTTGGCGAAGAATATTCTGTTTATGTCGCAATCTGCAAAAAAGGATATATAACGTGTAAGTTTATGACGCGAAAATAAGATGCGATGTAAACTACACGAACATCTTCAAAAGTGCGGTGGATAAAACATATTCTGCGAAAAAGAATATGAAAAAAATTATACTTTGATCATATTCTTGAAACTGCAAAGGATTTTTCTTATAACGTCCCGTCTCCATTTTCTAAAATATCCTTGAAATAATATTCTAATTAACATGTATTTTTTCACCAACATAAAATAGATTTTTTTTAGCAAAAATTTATTTTTTGTGTAATGTCAAATAAACTATTGCTTTAACATTTTGATTTAAAATTTTGCCGTACTGATATTAAAAATTATTTTGATTTCTAAATTTCTGTATTGTTTAATGATTTTCCCTACTTTTTGTTATTTTGAAAGTTTAATTTACAAAAAAAAAATTAGTCCACTCCATTCATGTTCAAATATATTTTTATTTTTATCTTAAACCGCCGAAGCTGCCAATATCAGCTAAATTAAGTACTTGTTTGCAATGGCTTTCTCCTCTTCATATCCTTTACATTTCTCAAGCATATCGCGATAAACTTTCGCGCATTCCTTGATATATTTCCTCCATCGATATGCCCGGTAATTTCTTTGAATTATACGTGCCTTTTGATTTACATCAAGTCGTAACTGCATGTCAATGTAGCTTTCATAAGACTTTACAGTCATGTATTTATCCATTTCGTTAGGTACATAATAGTCATCTCTGAATTGATAGGACAAAATCAATTCAAATCATTTATAATTGTTATATTATTTTCATATAAATATAATTTTTTCCAGAAGTTTAAAACTATTTCTTGACTTTTAAATGTTAGAAATTTATAATATACATAACAAAAAAAGAATTGCGCCAATCGAATCAATAGAGCCCGCAAAATTTAAAAATTTCCGGTATTTTTTGAACACACCTCGCATGTATAATTAAGTTTTCAATTTAATTTACTTATCTCTTGCGAAATTGTTATATAGTTTAGTTATAAATTAATAATACAGCTCTCTAATGTACAAAATTTAAAATTAAAAAGTAATAGGAAGTTGTGATATAATTGTATAATTAATTTTCAAAGAAAAATGGAATTTTATTTTTGCGTTAATAAAGAAATTCCTTGAATAAGTATCAAAATTTTCAATATTTTGTCTCATTTACTTACAAGGAAACCTCGCGAAGTATTAAATTCTGATTCTAATAAAACTTGGTACTGAAACTTTAAGGTCACATAAATAGATGAATTTAGAAATTATCAGTTGGGCTAAAAAACGGTTTAAAGGAATGAAACCCCTTATATATAAATTAATTTTTCTTTTTTTCGTTATATCTCGAAAACTATTCAAGATATGAAAAAATGTTTTATACAAAAGTTTTACAGTAAAATTATCTCTATTCATTTACGTTAATAATATTTTTTTAGAATAATTATATTTAAAAAATTTTTAAAAAATTTTTGAAAATAATTATTTTTGAAAAATTCTATTAATGTAAATAAATAGAGATAATTTTACTGTAAAACTTTTGTATAAAACATTTTTTGATATCTTGAGTAGTTTTCAAGATATAATGAAAAAAAAATTAATTTATAAATAAGGGGTGGTGTGATCCCTTTAAACCGTTTTTTAGCCCCAACTGATAATTTCTAAATTCATCTATTTATGTGACCTCAAAGTGTACCAAGTTTCATTAGAATCAGAATTTGACACTTCGCGAGGTTCCCTTGTTAGTAACCATGCAACACAATATTAATTTGTAACTAATTATATATTGTTACAAATATAATAGGATAAGAGAACATAATTTTATAATTATTTAATACATTATCTCCATAATTATACAATTATATGCATAATTAAGCAATATATAGAGAGAGATTGAAAAGATTGGACGTTAAATAAAAATTTATTTAAATATTTAGTACCGCCACATTTGCGTCGCCCGGTCACGCAGCGATTGTGTTGCTCCGTCATTCGTTCGCACACATTGTACCGCTCTACTGCATGTATTTTTCCGTGGACCTCGCTTTGGCAAAGGTCCTGTTTGGGAAGTCGCATTTACATATTCTACCCCGGTAATTTTATGTCGCCACCCACCTAGATAAGACTTGAAAATTCTTTGCTTTTTCATTTCAACTGACAAAATTATCTTAAAGAGTAATGGTTATTAAATCGCTTTTTCTTTTATTTATATCGATAACAAATTTTGCAAACACACTGGGTGTCATAAACGTCCTGACTTTTTCTAAATAAACTTTTTTTTTTAAATTGCAATTCTAATCATGTATACATTATTTATTGAACTTTAAGCATGTTTCCCATTTTATTAATATACTCTAATATATAAGAAAATACCTATAATATAATACATTGTAATTAATAACATTGTTAATATATATGAAAACAGAAAAATAAATAATTGTACATTCTTTTTCTACAGCTTTTTATTGATTTTGTTTAAAAAAAGCATTTAAATGAAACTATTTAATTACAATATGTCAGCAAATAAAAGTAAATTGATATTTTTTATATTAATTTTTAAACAAAAAAATAGCGTAGAAACATTTTCAAAAATGGATTTGAAATAATGTAATATTTATCAAAATAAAATTTCAAGGTATTAATAATACATCATTAAAATGGTATGCGAGAAAACCGTACAATATCTATAATAAAATCATATACGAGATTTGTATCATTTTCTATATTGCAGAACGTATTTACAATTCACATTGATTTGTAATTCTTAAGACTAATACATTTATTCATAATATTCGTCATAATATAGTTTTTTTAAGTTTAATGTACGATTTCACACAAAACAAAAAACTTATGTATAAATATTATTTCCTTCCAAGATTACACAAAAAATTCTCAAATGCATTTAAGATTTACAGTTATGTTCAAACAATGGAAGGAAATGCACGAGGAACAGAGATCATTTAAAAATATCGAAAATGAGAAAGATACTTTTCCGTAATTTTAGTAAAATTAAAATAAATAGCATGCATGTCCTTTCTATTGTGTTATAAAAAAATTAACATATGTGATTTAAGTTATTTTAATAAGAGGAAAATGCCGATGACAAGAAAAATCAAAGACCGGTGGTTCCTTCGAGTCCTTTTTGTGTCCGTCAGCTAATAGCTTCAGCACCACAAAATTCGTTTTTGCTACTTTCAATAAATTGTTTATCTGCAAAACAATAATTAAATGGTAAAAATAATATCCTAAAATAGTTTTATATAGTTATAAACTAAATGTTTTTATAAGCTTACTTCATTTTCTATTAAACTATTTGATGGATAAAGCAATAATGCACGTTCCAACATATTTCTAGCCTGATGAAAATGTCGACAGCCGGCAACATATTGCATTTCACTGGTAACTTTCTCCTACAAGAATAAAAGTTATATGAATTATATGATTTACAATTTTAATTTAGCCAGAACATTAAGAACAATGTTTACAATTTCTAATTGTTATCTAATTATTATAATTGTATTATAATTCAATAGATATAAAATTGATTAAGCATTGAACTTACATTTCTTTTATGCATTTGAGCATTTGTCATGTCTAGAAATTCTTGATAATGAACAGGCGGTGGCGTTAATAAAGACGAAAACGGTAATAATCGATGCTCATATCTCACTCGCTCGGAATCAAACTGTATTTCTGGAAGTGGTATTTTTTCATCCATGCGAAAACCAACCAGAGCCTAAAAATTTTACGACTTTTATTATGCACCAAAAGCTATATACTTATCTGTAAATTATTCTTTAAAAAAGGTATATAATTTACTTTATAATATCCGCCACATATATTTTGCAAAGCCTGATACATTAATATCTCCAAATTATATGGTCTTGGTGTCGATTTTTTCTTTTTATTCTTAGAGCTCTTTTTGCTTCTACCCTTATGAGTATCATTGTGTACGTCCTGCTCCATTAAGAACGTATCAGCTCGCGTAATCGCAGATACGAGCCAGCCATACAGAAATTCATATAGATACCAAAAAATATAGTGGTACTCGTGCACCGAATATAACTCGAGTTCGAAACCACTTAATAGATACATGACCATCACACGCAGTGTGTGATATAAAATCCAGGTACCAAAGCAGGCCAAGTGAGGCCTTGGCGTATCACTTTTCAAAGATAGAGTGTGCAAATAGCCATCAACTCTCTCCGCCTAAAATAAAATATGTATTTCAATTTTAAACTTTTTACATTAAAACAGATGCTTTGTTTAAAATGAATTTAATGCCCTCTGTAGTCACAAAAAACTTTTTTAGATAGAATTAATAAAGGTAAGTAGATGCAGGTAATAGATGTTACGAGAAAAAGAAGTGTAGAATGTAATTTAAAAAATTCTACAAAAGATTCTTACTTCATCTTGCAATGTCGCAAAATCTTCCAACAAATGTGCCAGCTTATCTCTTTGTCTTGCCCTATTATGTCCACTAAGCTGCAACAGGTTTCCGAATAAGCTAACACAATGCGACAGAAAGCTATCGACGTACTCCTTAGCCTGGTGATTCTGCAGCAACGTACTTTTTGGCAGCAACACAGGTGGGGCAATGAAATTTCGCGCCGCATCTCTCAGTACATCGGCGAAATTATGTATACCGAATACACGATTAGTGGCAGGCAAGTAAACTATTTGTAGCATAGATCTGGATAATATGCATGGACTTTGACGGGAGAATTCTAAGAAAAAATCCTAAAAAGAAATTGATTTATTTTGTATATAAATCTATTAATAACAAAATGCTAATACATCGCTAATTACCAAGGCCGCGTGAAATCCGATATGATTTGTGATCTTGGTAACCATTTTGAATCTGTTTATTAATTCAACTAAATATTCTAAGGCATCTGTTCTTGGCTTAATTTTGGTATATCGAGGGAACGTAGGTGGTAATAATCTCTGATTCACCATCGGATCAAACCCCATAATGTTTGGATGATTAGCTATAATTGAAAATCACAGGTCTCTTACATAAATAAACATTGGTTTTGATATAAGAAAACATTAATATTAGATATTGATTTTTTTATAAAAAATAGTTCCAAATTCATGAAAAGAATTTATAACGAAGGAAAAATATACATTATTGATTATACTTACAAACTTCATCAGCCTTTTCTCCGCGAGCTACTGTTGAAATCATAATATTAAGCATATCGGAACAATTCGATAATAATCTCTGGCAATCACTTAAATTCTGCTGCAACTGCTGCTTCCGACCCATCAATGTTAGCACTTGATAGAACATTTTGGTAAATCGGATCCTCGCATAAAGTGCTACTCCATCATTATACTGCAAGTAAATATTAGTAACAAATAAATTTTAATAAATATAACACAATAATATTGTATATAGCATAGATATAAAATTATAAAAATAGTAAAATTACAAAATAAGATATAATAAAGTTAAGATTCAAGCCACGATCTAGATAAAAGAAGGAAAATTAAAGTTACAAAAAAATTTACCTCTTTCTCAGATTCGACATCAACGAGTTTTATCCGACTTTTACGATGAAGTTCCTCTTCAACTTCCCGCAACATCGATATTGTTTTTTGTTCCGTAATATCTTGCTGTAATCTATAGCCATAGGTAACGCTCTGAAAATCCTCCTCTTCGAATACCAAAGCCTTATTAATGCAGTCCTTGATTATCTCTATTATCTTATACACTGCATAACAAAAGGTCTTCAAAGGCTTATCTAGTATTTGCGCAGGCTGATGCAAATACAAGTTCGTGAAAACGGTTTGCGCAAGACTGTGTCCTTCTAACCAAGATACTATACACCGTACGTGGAATCAATTATTCCGATAATTTCGGCGGGTGTAAAATTGTCCAATTTGATTGCGCCTGAATCGACCGCCTGGGTAAAGGTGCAAGGCTTGTTGTTCCCCCGATTGCATAACATGCCAGCATCCATTTTTGGATCCATCATCTCAATGGCAGACATGGCCTCAAATAACCCAAATAGCTCATCATGCAACAATTCTCCCAGTTCCAACTCTGAATGCAGAATACAGAAAAGTATACTGGCATTTCAAAAATGATAAAATATTGTCAAATATTGTTATACATAATGTCATTTTTAGATTAAAAAAGTTCATAACAATTCAATATTTAAAATCTCTTGTATAGTATAATTATATTCTATAGTATATATTCTGTACAATAGTAATATGCAAATTTTTATGCTCATGATTCCTTTCTTTAAGTATAAATTTGACGCAATTCATTAATTTTTATCATTCACATAAATAAAGAATAATATAAGAATAATTATAATTTTAAAAATTAATCATTTCATATGTATACACATATATTATATATATATATATATATATATAACATATATAAAATTAATTAACTTGTTTTAACATATGTAATATTTATTACATAAAAAATTGTACAAATACACTATTAAAAGCGAAAAATATTTCGCAGTCCTCAATAACTTTTACGCGACCCTCAAACAATCACAATTGTTTGAACACCATTGATCTATAATATTCTATAATAATTATAATTTGAATAAGACCGCCTATGTGAATAACGTAACTAACTTCGAGAGCGCCTTTTCGCGGTCACGGCTGGATCTTAGATGCCTAATAAATCCTATATGAATTTTTCTGAAATCCATGTACAGCCAATAAACTGCGCGCCGATTAAATGTTTGAACTTGAAACGCAATTATTAGCTGATGCTGGAATAGAAATATCATATTAATTTTCCTAATCAATCAATGCTTATAAGCATCTTAAAATACTGAATAGAACTTAATGCGAAAAATATATTTAATAATATTATTATATCCTGGCTGAGGTAATATTTTCGTAATAAGTTCTTTTCAGTATTTTAAGACGCTTATAAGCATCGAGTGATTAGGAATATCAATATATTTTTATTCCAGCCTCAGCTAATAATTGCGTTTCAAGTCTGAACGTTTAATCGGCAGTTTAACTGCTGTACATGGATTTCAGAAAAATTCATACAGAATTTATTAAGCACCTAAGATCCAGCCGTGACCGTGAAAAAGTGCTCTTGAAGTTAGTAATAATATTCTAAATATTCTAAAATATTGTATATATATTAGAATGTATGTATACACATATATTACTATTACATTGTAACTTATACATATATTTCTTAAACTTTACATGCAAAGTATATTTTTTGCTTTTTTGCTTATATTAATGCTATATTTATGTCAAATAAGTTTCAATAAGATAAATCAGAAAATATAATCAGAGAGGAGAAATATATATAAAGTAAATCCTTACTGTGTAATATTTATTATAATTTGTGATCAGATTTAACATACTTGTTAAATTTCATTAAAATAAAGAAACGCATATAAAAAATACAAATTTAATTTAAGATTAAATATTAATATAATTAAAGCAATTTAATAATATTGATATATTAAGAAATATATACATACATACATACATACATACATACATACATACATACATACATACATACATACATACATACATACATACATACATACATACATACACACATCATATATAGGCTTATTTTTGTTTATTATTGGGTATTCACATTAAATGTGTATTCATATATCGATTAAATTTTACTTTATATATATATATATTTAATGTGATATACAATTAATGTGAATACCCAATAATAAACAAAAATAAGCCTATTTAATTCAAAGGTCTTAGTATTTAATAATATATTTTCATGATTTATATACACTTTCCAATTCATGTAAATTGTACGTCAATTTATCAGTTTCGAAATAAAGTCTTAAACTGAAATTGGAATCATAAACTAAACTAACAAATAATTTAATAATATTGATGTTTATGAGCATCTTAAAACAAGCAAATAATTTATACTACAAAAAATAAAAACTATACCTATATATATACATATATTTATTGTACTTGAAATATGCTTTCTTTTCAAACCAAGTTTTTTTTATTTTTCTCATTCTATGTAAACATAGAAAAATAAGGGAAAAAAAATTAAAAATTGATTTAATAACAAGATAGAAAAAGTAAAATTTAAGCATTACATTCACAACTTCATAAATTAGTCATAACTTGGTACATGTCGAATCATAAACCTGGGAAATATCGAAGTTCAAATAGATCAGCTAAGATCTGTTCCTGCTTTTTATTAATCTTTTTCCTACTTTTCTTTCCGTGGCTTATTTGTATTTTCTTTTTCATCTTATTTTAAACATGAAAAACTTAAAGCGACACGGCCAAAGACGAACAAATCCGAAAATAAACATTCACAGCACAAGGCCGTAGTGAAACTCGGAACAAGGGAAAGAGTGCGGGACAGGGAAAATGACAGTTTGGTTCGGGACAAAGTAACAATCGATTAGAAGTCAAGTACCTGTGATTGCCTCGAAGAACTCTTGAGTGATATCCACCCAGTTATGCGTGACCTGGTCGAATCTACAAGACAAAAGCAAGACAACGCAGTTAAAAAATACCGCCCTACGGTGTGCAAACGAACGGCGCGATTAGGTTAAACTGCCATCGACAGCCGCGACGGTGACACGATGGATCGCCGCGACCATCGTTCGCCGGTGATTTGCGAACAAAGCTCACTGTCGCAGTTCGTCCGCTTTGAAACTTACGACAAATCTTTATCCTCGTTCATATCTATCGAATTCTGATCCTCCACCATGGTCACCATTAGTGGCAGAACTATTCGTTCTGCCACCTTGTCACAGGGGCACCACTCCACTCCCAACAACTGCCGCGCCAAAACTTCCTGTGATTCCTGTAGAGTCCCTCTAGTCAGAGTCGAACATAAGCAAGCTCTCTCGCGATTGGTCGGCGCCATTTCCTGACTAACTGTGTTAGTGAAAAAGGTGAATACATGTGGTGAATACGTGAAGTCAACTTTTCTTAGTGTAAGCCGCCATGTCTAGACCAACTGATGTGTTAGTGAATAAGTGAATATGTGAAGGTTCCACACTACGGTCTTATGTCTTGACTTTGACTAGAGGGACTCTAATTCCTGAGAAGCGAAGCGCTACCAGAGAGGAATAGAGAGGATCCTGAAGCCGGTATCAGACTACGCATTGGAGATTGAGATTAAGATTGAGATTGAAGATTGTCCAATCACATTATAGATTGCGATTTGTATTGCGATTGATAATATAGCTGCGTTCAGCAAACAAAGCAACTCGGTGTATATACATATTTGCA